AAGGGCGGCTGTTCAGCTGTCTCGACGCGAGGGACATCCAACAAACTCTCACCATTTACTGCTGGCTTTCCACCTCCGCTCCGACGGCACGGCCTTCCTATGTCATGCCCGGAGGAGGGAAAAAAGGTAATCCACAACCCCTAGTTATAACCACAATTACAACTCTTCATCTGATAACCTTATGGTGATTGAACCAAGAAGGGTGAGCTGGGCGGGGCATGTAATTCGGAAGGGGAAAAATCAGAAAAACATGCACGATTTTGGTCGTACAATCGCAAAGGAGACTTAACAGTAGAAGGAATGCTAATATCAAAATCGATCACCGAGATATTGGTTATAAAGTGCGTAATGGCTTCAGATAACTCAGGGTAGTGTCAATTGTGAGGGTTCGTGGATGAAATCTCAGGCTTGTAAAAGCAGGAAATTTCTTGACACAAAACAATTATTTTTACAATTCAAGGAAAAATTTGTGCCATTGAGGTGACTGCATCTTTAGTCTAGACAGAGAAAAGCGAGGGTATTAATTAATCAAGTATGAGACGGGCGAGACTTCTAGTGCGCACGAGAAGTCAAGAATGGCATTTTCAATTGTTAATTGAAATTTTGTGGAAACACCCTTTGGGAATACAAAGACGTAGACTACAGTATAATACTAAAGCTGACGTTACATTGCGACCTCGGTGGGTCGTTCATATTAACCGTGTTAGCCATGTTAGTTCGGCTGACACTTTGAAAAAACTAAACATAAAAAAGTATTCTGTATAACTTTCGTGGTTCAGTTGTACTCCGTACTCTGTAACCCAGTAGAACCGATCAGATAAAATGAATATTTAACCAGCCAGGCATTGTTAGCGCTTATACCGTTCGCCACGAAACAAAGACAAAATACTTTATTTTTCGTTTTTTTAAGCGTTATCCGGCCTAACACGATTAAATCAACGCTCCGCCCCTAATATAGGCCTACATTATAAAACAGTGCAAAGAACCTTTCACATGACGGTTAATTTTGTATAATAAAATTAAATTCACTGAGTAACACGAGGAGACGTTTCGGAACACGCATAGTACGCAGTATTTGGAACTGCCGTCTCTATAATTGACTAATATTTAACGCAAATTGTTGCAAATAACTTTTGGTTAACTATCCGTTTTATATTGATAAACACACACAGTAATGGGGCTACCGTATTACTTCGGTACTATTTCCTAAGCTGTAGAACACAATTAACCCCATGTTAAATAGGTGATTAAATTAGATATTCTAAAATGTACCAAGTTCATTTCATGCTGTAAGCCTTTGTTTAATTCATTTCCATCCCCCACTGTTCGCTGTAAGCCCCGCGCCATATGTCAGCGAAAGAGCGCCGTGGGTGGACACAGGATTAACGAATGCCATGTGTGCAAGTATCGATCTGGCAGGAATTTCCAGCACAGGTGTAACTAAGTAGTTTCCAGTTGAAAGGGACAACTACGCAGTATTTTACGTGTTTTATACAATTTATCAGTCCTGCTATAAACAGATTCTCCGACATTTGCGAAGTTACGGCAAATCAAGTGCACTATGTTACGAAATACAAACAGAGGAAACTTACTGATCGTATCTGAAAGGAAAATACCTCCACATAAACTAAATAATGCGATTAGAAGACATTCAGAAAGCACCTATCAGTTTTGTTACTTCTGTCCGTCCGTCCTAAAATAACAGCTTTCTAACTACGGAACCGGATTTGACGAAAATCGGCATGGTAGTGTTATTCCTTGTTGGGTCATTATTATTTTGGTATAGCATGGTTCCTTTTAAGGAACACTTTCGGCAAGGATCTAAATCAGCGTTTACTTGTAAGTCTATCATTTAGTCTCCTTTTACAGATTTTCACAGGGATTAATACACGACACCTGCAGTGCCACGGCGTGTTTCCTTTCATGCATTTTAAATAATTCTAAGTTTTATTTGAAATCAGAATCTCTTCTTCTTCTTCTTCTTCTTCTTCTTCTTCTTCTTAAACTATTCGAACTTTTGGCTTATAAAGCCCGTTCCACCAACTTCCAGCCATGGGTTGGTCTTGTCACCTCTTTCTGGGATGACCTCTATTCTTTGAACTCTTTCCACATTTTTAAATTATTTTGATAATCACACGTGCATCCTACCATATCTTTAACTTGCAATCTTTTCCTTAATCTGAATTCCTTTGGTGGTCCAATATCATAAATCCCAGCATTAGTGTGAAAAATTTCGTCCTTGCTGCTTCCATACGTTATCCAACTCTCAAATTCAAAACCCACACATCACTTCAGAATGGGTGCTGCCTTTGATGTTGTGTTAGGCATTCTTAATTTAGTGTCGGTTGTCATCTGTTCGCCGACATTTCTTGTTATAATGTTATTCATTCTACTATAAGTTTGCAGTTTGCAATCCATATCCTTAATAAATTTCTGAAACTT